AGCTGGATAATGCATTTAATTTCAATTAGATTGATACATTATAATGTACACAACAAGAAATTATCCTAAAGGTACTTCCGAGCAAATGAGTCAAAATAAAATATATATAAAAATCTAGTTTACTTGGTCCAGTTTGCACAATATCTTGCATATTCGCTCATTTTCGTGTCATATGCTGTTGGGATATGGCAAATTGAAAGAAGACGAACAACATATGTGGCCTCTTGTTTGCTCGATGCCCCTTTTGCTTTCAATTAGTTAAATTGTCCTTGCTTGTAAAATTTAGTTACCTTTAAGTAAGAATATAGCTAACTTATCTAGTATCGTCCTTCATGTCTCTAAAATTATTCCTTATGCTAGAAAATGTATTAATGGCCGATATTTAAGAGACTTATCAAAAAGATTATTAATAGAAAGGCGAATAAATAGATTATAAATACTGGCCACAGCATATGTTTTTGCTAAATGTACATACTGTTGTGTAAAAGTATCCAAGCTAGACGAAACGAAGATAGAATTAGGGCAAGCTGAGTTGCCAGATTTGATATAAAGGACATTTGTAATAAAATGAAGATAGAATCTCTTTTGCGATTCGTAGCAATTGAAACGTCCATTTTTCGCATAAACCTTTCCGTTTTATGCGATCCGCCTTAGTGGCGAAAAAATAAAAACATTCTGATAAACACACATTTATGAACATACAACGTAAGTTTATCAGAAGAAAAGGATTAATCGAGTCTTGAATAAGGAATAAATCGTCACTCTATAATGCACAGTTTAAAGAGTGACACGAGAAAAGTGAAATAAACGAAGTTTAAGCTTCTTTAAAATGAGTGACAGCTATTGTAAGTGAATTAAATAGTTGGGTCTATAAGAATGATTATATTTCGCTCATCCCCTTTAATACAGATCCTTACAATAAAGGAAAAATGAATGTGAATGTAACTAACCGCATTAACAAAGGCATCGTATGCACAATGGCATTGACAAGTACTAAATTTTGTAAAATTGTCTCATGCAAAATATCCCATGAAAACTAATTGAAATAAATTCTTTCTTTAGGCCTGCTTTTGCCCATTATCGAAAAAGACGAATGTGATGCAAATCGAATATGCCCAAGGGTTTATTGCCCCAATAGATACAGCTTTGTGAAGCAAATGAGCTTCACCTTAGATAAGCAATTGTATGTCTATAGCAAGAGACTTAAATGTTAAGCTGACTAAGGATTCCGAAAATTAATTGGAATTTAATGAGTTTTCCTGTAAATTCACTATACTGGCAAACCTCTAACAGCCACACATTTTTGCAAACCGCCTACCATGCTGAAGACAATCGGCAAAAGAATAGAGGTAGTGGCGACATTCGAAGTAACTTCAGTCAGCATGGCTCCGACTGTGGCTAGTATAAACACCAAAGCTTCAGGGGGAACAGAATGACCAAGGGAGAGCTGTCGCGCCACCAGATTGGAAAGGCCCGAAGCCTGGAAGTATGCGTTTTAAACAAATAATAAATAAAATTTGATCAAACATCCAAACAAATAAATAGCTACTTCATGAGATAGTTTTGGCATAACTAAATAGAATTGATTATAACATTTAGTTGAAAAAAGCTTTCCAAAATAAGATGTGTAGAATGAGAGCCAGAATTGACTGTAAACCAAAATAATAAAACCTTAAATAGGAAATGCTGTCATTAATATGTTGAATAAAAGTAAGAAGTAAATAGCTAGATGGATTGATAGATGAATTGATAAATAATTTACAAAAACATTATCTGAAAAAAAATCAGCTATAAACTAAAATAATAAAATACTTTCTCAAAAATACATGGGCAACTAACCGTAGATGATTGACAAATAAACTAGTTAGACTAGTAGCCAATAAGAATAAAATGGACTCAGAATAAAGTCGTGAATAAAATAGATTTAAATGAATAAAAATCTCAAATTTATCATAATTAGCTATAAGAATACAGCGAATTTCTCTTGACAAGCTGTCGCTTGGCATTGCTATAACCTTCTTGTTAATGCCGTTTCCGAAGCAACCGCCTTCGATTCAGGTAAAAATGTTCTAATCATTTGTCCTTTATATGATATACACGATCAGAGCAGGATATCATCATTATTTTTCGTATCTAAGTAGAGTTTCGAGACTACCAGAGGGTTGTATTCACTCTATTTCGTTTTAGATGATGAAGGCCTGGTAGTAGAATTTTCCCACAATGATCTGAGTTAAGCTGACGCTACCATTTAATTTCGCGTAACCTTGTTTTCCTAAATGGTGTTCTTCTTCAGGCTGAAGTGGACTGCGGTTTCGACCTCGCTTCGGTTTTATCAACACCGCCAGCGGGAGTCGAACCGTGACAGTGCAGCATGGCACGTTACCCACTCGACTCCCACTGGGGGTGTTGATAAGACCTATGCGAGGAGGAAATTACAGTCCACCCTTGATGAGAAAAACTTTTGGGAAAGCAGGGCTCTGTGAAATTCAATGGAAACGTCAGCTCTACTCATATGATTGAGGGGAAAATTCTACTACCATTCATTCATCATCCGTATAACCATATTCAAGCTAACGAATCATGGAAGCTCACTGGCTCATCCAAAATTGTTCTATATATACCCTATATCTAAGATTTTTAGTGAGGTTTAAAGTTATTTGGCTAGTTGAAATCATATGTCAACCCTGAAGAGAGGGAGTGAGTCTTTCTGTGTTTTTATATGTCTGTATGCGTTCGCATATGTACTAAGTCAGCAGTAATGGCTCAAAGTAATTAGAGCATAAAAAGTAAAATCTCTTCCTGGTCATCAAGGTTTGACGACCACCACCACTCAATCTTTCTAAATATTTTAGCCAGCTGTACATACTACTACCACATAAGTAAGGTAAAAATTCTTACCAATTCGAGAGCCAAGAAACCTGGAAAGTTAATTCCATTAAATATTTTTAATTTTCTATTTTAAATAATGTATTATCTAGATATTGTTTTCATTGCAGACGTCTAGGTTTACATATTCTCTTCACTAGGAAGCTGGAACATGTGTAAAGTGATTTGGTTAACACTGGACTAAAAGAAAGTATATAGAAATTGTATGACCTGATGAGAACCAAAACCAGGAGTGGACAATCTGTATCTC